TCAATTAAATCAATAAAAAGTTTGTGGTATTTTCATTAAGAAAACCAAACGACAATAAACGAATTAAATTGATTAAAAAGTAAGTTTGAAAAGTAAAATTAAACCTAAGAAGAAAAGGTTTAAGGTAAAAATGCAGCTTTAACATAAATAATTGATCAAACAATGATGTAAGACTCTAATTAAAGTTATAGGTTGAAAATAAATGTATTTTATCGTTTATAAATCACTTTATATGGAGAGGGCGCCCTCTGGTGGTTAGTTGTTGGTTACTGCCACTTAAATAATAAATGAATTAGACTGCTGTTTCTTGAGTAAATTAAACACAGAAGCTGGATGAAGAGCTTGTTGTCTTAGTTTACCTGTTGTTTTATTACTTTTAGCTGTTGTTTATTTACCTTTTAGCTGTTGTTTAGTTTTATTTCCCTTTAGCTGTTGTTTTATTTACCTTTTAACTGTTGTTTAGTTTTATTTCCCTTTTAGCTGTTGTTTATTTACCTTTAGCTGTTGTTTAGTTTTATTTACCTTTTAGCTGGGAAATAATAAATAATAACCTTTCAGGTTAGCGTCTGAAGTGTACCTGTAGGTCTGTCTTCATGAGCGAGGCTCCTGCTTCAACCAGATAATGACAGATAGTTCTTTGACACAGGGACGCAGCTCGGTGAAGGACCGTCTCCCCCCTGGTCAACAGAAGAGAGAGAGAGAGACAACATCACCCGAGGAACAGACATCAACCCCCCTGCTGCTTCTTTTGTGTCTTGTGTTTATGATGGCACATATATCATCACATATAGACTGAACAGAGATCAGAGCACAGATACAGGAACAGCATCATCATCTACACTCTGTTAACATTTAAATAAAGTGTTTAACATTTTAAAAACCTCATGGTTTCAGTTCAATGTTGGATGTTTTCACGCACAAATAGAATCTGTACTTACTGCAGTTTTTCTGTAAGGACTAAAAACTACTTAAAGGCAGGGTTGGTGATTTTCTCCAGATCCACTTTTTAAGATTGTGGTTGAAATGATCAACCCTGCCTTTAACCCAGACAAGACTCTCTCTTACCTGCTGTTTGTAAAGTGTCTTGAGATAACATTTGTATTGAGTTGGCGCTCTACAAAATAAAGATTGATTGAACTGACTTATTGTTTTACAAGCCTGTCATTGAAAGTTTCCCATTTATTCAAACACTAGAATACAGAAAGAAAGAAAAAAACATCATATTCCTATGTTGAAAAGAACCCACATACATTCATTAATTGTAAAAAAAAAACAACAACTAAGGAGTCTATTAATGAGCTACGCATGGTGCAATGGCACCCCCTGTTGGCCTGTCAGAGACTGCTACAGGAAGTGACTGATCAAGCCCTGCCTATAAAGGAAGCAGGAAGTGGAGGGTTCCTTCTTTAATCTTCAAGGCTGCACAGAGCAGGCAGCAACAGAAATGTAAGCTCCTTCACTTTACTGAAGTTAACAACTAAGCTTTCTTTTGTCTTGTATTAGTTTATTGTTTGAATTTAGAACTTTGGTAATGACTAAACTAAATGTTGTTGTGTGTTGTAGTTTTCACTCCTTATTCAATGTGGTGAATAAGTCAAAAGAGTAACTAACATTCTGACTCACTCCATACGTGCACCATACATGTGGAGGACTGCACACACACCTGTGGAGGATGTAGAGGACCATCTCTTTGCTTCCTGCACTGGCAGCGTGATGACGTCAACTGCAGCCGGACGAGTCGAGTGAGGTGAGGTGGGCTCCCTTCAGGTGGGGCTCCCTTCAGGTGGGGCTCCCTTCAGGTGGGGCTCCCTTCAGGTGGGGCTCCCTTCAGGTGGGGCTCCTCAGCTGATGATTCAATTCAAAGACACATGTGAGTATGTAGGAATGAGGTGCAAAGGTCTGTAGTGAGAGATGAAACTGTCACTCACCTTCTTTAAGTCTTTGTTCTTCACACACTCAACCAGCAGCTCTACACACAGAGAGAGAGAGAGAATGTTAAAAACCACAGATAATTAAAGTTATTATCAGTGCTCTGTATGACGAGGTTGAAGGTCTTGGTCCTCAAAAGGATTTGATTGACTTCTCCTTTTGGGCGACAGATTTATCGGCTAACAATAAACACGTAAACTACTCTAACTAATTAAAACACAGCTGGCAGATAACCAACGACATTAAGGACTAATGCAGTGCAGCTGAACCTGATCACAGATGTTCTCTCTCTCTCCCCCCCAGGTACTGAAGTCAATGTGATGCAGAATGGACGCAGCAGTAGTTACTTTCCAAAAAAACAGGCCCAATGTGACATTATAACAAACTGAATGTTAACTTTCATAAATCAGTCCTTTTTTTATTCACTTGTCTCCAAAAACAAACATTTTGAAGTTTAAACTAATTGTGATGTGTCTTTTTTTAACACTTTTAGGGGCAGCCTGACCAAAACAAGATGAAGAGCTGTTAGCATGTCTGCTACACCATGCTGCCTCACTTCCTTCAACATTTGGTGAGTATTTTTCTTGGCTCTTGTTTTATTTTAACCGTTTGAGTCACATATAGTCATATTCTTGATTTTATTCGTAGGGCAAAATTGACATGATGCTACAAACTTTTAAATTTTAATCCTAACACTCTCTTTGATGTAGATTATTTTGACTTAATTAAATGATTAAAAATTACTAATGTATCAGAATGGCCCATTTTACTTTTCATGTTTTGTACAATCCTAGCTGTAAATTACTCATAGATGCAACCTGACATGAACTTTAAACCCTGATGTCTTTCTTGTGTCTGATATTCCAGGTGTTTCCTCGCTCTGAACTCTGAAGAGAAGGATCTGTGCTGCAGCTGGAAGGAGTTTCTTTAGATTAAAGTTTACTTGTTAGCTGTTTTAGTTTTCTTTCAGCTATAGATTTAGTTTAAAGTCTGTTTTCTTTAATCTTTATGTGCAGTTTTCTCTCAACACAATTTGATAATAAAATTTTAAAGTCTTAATTTGTGTCTTGTTTGTGTTGTAGTTGTTTCCTTCTTTGTCACACAGCTGTTGGATTTATTTTCATTTGAAGTTTGGTTATAACAAATTTCCATTAGGAAAATGCTTATTGGTGGTAGATAATTAGAAAGTTTCCTCAGGAACAATGAAAGCTGTAAACTACTATAAACCACAGCTGGCAGATAACAGCCTAATCAACAATGTAACACAAGCACAGAAAGGACAGCAGTTTTATTACAATAAAATCTAACAGACATGACTTCTGTTTTTTGTACATGTTACATCAGCACAATACAATAAGGCGTCACAGGCGTCCACATTGGGTAGGAGCTCAAAGCTTAATGTTGTTTTATGATGTTCCAGGTTTAGGTCGTATAAATGTTTAGACTCAGTTATTTTAATCATTTGATCCTTTTTGGAGGAACATCAGGTGTTTAATGAAATAAGGATTATAAAAATGTAGTATTTCATTAAACACCTGATGTTCCTCCACTCCAAAAAGGATGAAATGATTAAAATAACTGAGTCTAAACATCTATAAGACCTAAAACCTGGAACATAATAAAACAACATTAAGAAAGCTTTGAGTCTCCTACCTGAGCAGGAAGACGGTCACCGACGGGGGATCCTCCTGGAAGACGTCAACAGAGTTCCTGTTGGAGAAGAAAAACTAATTTAGTTCAAGTAAATAAACTCAAAATGTTTGTGATTATACAACATTGTGATGACTGGAATAAACCTGAGTTTCATCATTCACGGTAAATGATCTGTGTTTAACTTCACTTTAAGGGTTTTCTATGAGACCGAAGCAAACTTAAATTTAAAGTTTAAATGTAGAATATAATATAGAAACATTAAGTATAAGGTCTTAAGAAACATCTTGACCATACATTTACTGTCACAAGAACTAAAATAATACAAGGTTTAAAATAAATGAATCAGACTGTTGTTTGTTTGAGTTTCAATTAAACACAAAGCTGGATTAAGAGCTTTAACTCTTAAATTAAATAAAGAAGTTTATTCATATTACTTTATCAAGATGAACATTTAATCTCTGAGCTCTGTGAACAGTAATGTTTAGAAAATCATTTTACCTCGGATTAATAATTTACATATTAGTCAATAAAGTTAAATTGAGGTTATTGTTTTATTTAAACTCTTCAATCTGATATTAGTTTAAATTATAAGTTTTGTTTTTAAAGTTTACTTTTACCCGGTGTTTAAACAATTAGTTTAAGAGGAGAAAACAAGTTCAAAAGTGACCTTCATAATGTTGATAAATGTTATCATCATCTTACTTTGACCATGTTTCCTCTTAACAAACATTTAGCATGAGCATTAGCCCACGTGTTAGCATTAGCATACAGCCCCACGTGTTTCTATTTTGTGGCTTTTCACACAAAACTGAACTTTTAAAGACTCACTGAGTATCTAGACTTCATCTCTCCTTCCCCGGCTCCTTCTTCTTCCACCGCTTTGATCCACAGCCAGGCTGCCCGCGGTCCGCACCGCTTACCTGCTCGAAACAATGATATACACACCTGAGAACACCTGAACACACCTGGGCGTGATTACCGGAAGCTTCAACCGGAAGTGTCGCAGAAAGTTTCTATGGAAGAAATGAAAAAGTTATAAATAAGAGGACACAAAACAAGACTAAGTCAAAAATCAAATGTTTTATTGATAAAAATATTTCTTAATGTAATTTACTTGTTTTTATGTTTTTTTTAAACTTTGAACTCTTGGTAACCAAGCAACATGAGAAAGTCAAACTCGGGTCACCATGGTAACTACCGGTAACTGCATTCGTTAGCAGGACGAAGCTAACCTGTTTTCCGGTCTTTAGGACACTGACTGAATTCTTACCCACAGATAAATTCAGTGTTCATGATGTTTACCTCCAGTTTCTCTCTTCCTCTCCCTGTCGTTCTCCAAAGTGTCCAAGAAGCAGATAAATTAGTTAGTTTGAGATACTAATGTGTAAAGATGGAGTTTAAAGGTGAAACTGCGCCCTCCTGTGGTCACTCTGTGAATTACTGCATTTGAATTTGTTTTTTTCACCTTTCTTGTTCTAGATACAAATTCAAACTGCTTTCTTTGTTTTATTTCTTTATAAATAAATGTGACTTGACTAATCACAGATAACATATTTTCTTAATTATAAAAAGCAACTGTTTACTGCTTATGTTAATTAAAATCCATTGTCTGTTAATCACACGTGCATGTTAGTCTCTCAAAGAATCTGAAGTGTAACTTCACTGATTGCATATTCTTGTGTACGTTGGAGCGTTTCACTCCTGAGGAAGAAAGCAGATTGTGTTCCCATGACATATTAGGCAATATATTTTTCTTATTTTCTTATTAGTGGTAGATAATTAAAGACTACAATAAACAAGTTTCCTCAAAATGAAAGAAAACAGACAATGAAAGCTGTAAACTACTATAACTAAATAAAACACAGCTGGCAGATAAGGGTTTTTGCTTTGAATCCACGTCTTTTTAAGCCTTTTCTGCCTCGTAATTATCGTGCAAAAATCTAAATTCTTTGACTTCCAAGTAGAGTGAATGTAATCACTGAAATGTGTCTAGAAGGTGACTGGTTACTGCACTGACCTGTATCTAACTTAAAAGTAGTGAGGGTTTTACCACACCTCTAAGAGCAGATAAAATGATCATCAGAGTTCAACCACTGACGAAACAAAGACACTGAAAGAGAGTACAGAAAGAAGACTTGGATGAAATGAAGAAACTTCTCAGTTGACAGTTTTGGTCTCACTCCAAGTCTTCACTCAGAAAGAAGAAAAGAATTGATTTGCTTTCTTCAGAAGAAAAAAAAGAAAAGAGAGTGTTGCTTACAATCAGAGGACAGGTTATTTTGTCTTAGTCTGTCTTAGACAGACCCCTTTAAAAGACAGACTAAAGGGGTTTCACACTTGCAGAAAACTCCTGAAAAACTCCTGACATCTCAGAAAAGTGTCTTGACACTGAAGAAAGACGGCAGCACTCACCCGTCATTCCAAAGGGAAAGCAGGTGTCTTTTAATCACATCCAGGATTCCTTCGATCCACAACCAGAAGGAATACGCTTTCTCGTTCGCACTCTGCTACAGACAAATACATTTAGTTCAAAGAGAAGATGTAGTTTTAACTTTATGATGCACCAAAAAGACTCCATTAGTATCTGCTAACCTGTACATGTTTCTCTTATTGCAGCTTTTGGTTAAATTACAGATTTGAATACAGATTTTATTCATTTTTAACTTGTGGTATTAAAAAGTATCACAGATGTTGACGATCTTAAATCTCAGGCTGAATGGGGCTCACCTTGCAGAACTTGGTCCAGGGGATTTGTCCCTCTGGGTTCCTCTTGGCTTTGGCTCCTGAAGATAAAAATAAATAAAAGTTAAAGGCCTGTTTGAAAGTCCTGCAGGTGTTTATCTGTTAAAGAAAACTATTTCTACCGAGCAGTTTGTCAGCCAGCATGTTGAGCTGCTCCTGGTTCAGGCCTCGCTTGGTGACGGAGGAGAACTGCCAGCTGAGGACCTCGGACAGCTGAGACCACTTGGCCTGCGGAGGCTGAGGAAGAACTTCAGATTCTGAGGGAGAGGAGAGGAAAGAAGAAGAGATGGAAACACAAAAAGTCAAACCATCTGGTTTAAAACTACAGTTAAAGATACTCTGTTACGAATAGAAGACCTTTATTCAAAACCTTACTTCATATAAAAAGCACAGGCATCAAAATATACTGAAAATGCAAACCGTAAAACAGCTATACACGCGTCAACATTTAGATTGTATTAATGGTCTGTTTATGAATTTAAGGTGGCAGCTGTGAAACTTGTTTAAATCATTAAGATATCACCTAATTGTATCTTTGATATTTGTGATAAGTAAACATCTGTAATCATCAATGAGAGTCCTGGTTGTGTACCCTGGGCTCGGAGGTCAGCATGTTGTACCAGAGGATGGAGGCCCAGCCGCTGGGCAGCTGACAGACGTTAGAGATGACAACAACAGGCAGGGACATGGCCTACAACAACAAAAACAGCAACAAACATGAGGAAATAATCATAAACAAACTCATAAACTCTATAGTTTGACTGTAGTTACTAATCATGTCCACTAGATGGCAGCCAAACTCTGCTGTTTCATTTAACATCCAATATTTCCCCACTTCCGTTCCACAGCTTAGTAGCACTGCGTGTTTTAAAGTATATATTTCATAATAATTAAATGCTTTGTTGTGCTTCAAATGATCTACATGATGTTGAAGGTTTTAACTCTTTGTGGCTGTAATGTAACTTCTACACTTTACAACCACGGACTGTGAATATTACAATATAACTCACCTGGAGGTTAACAGCCTCGTCAGGTCTAATTAACCGCTGCATCATGCATTCATATTGCACTGCTGCCCTCTGCTGGCGATGGATTGTAATTACATCCAACAGTCACTATAACAGAAATGTATCCTCTTTTTAACCTTTTATTCCACCACATAAATGTGTGGAAAAATATAAATAGTGCAGTTACTTCTGTATAGCAAAATTCTGTATTTTCTTCTTGTTTGTTTGTACAGGTGTGTGCAGGTGTTTCCTCGCTCTGTGCTGCAGCTCAGAGGTAAAATGATTTTCTAAACATTACTGTTCACAGAGCTCAGAGATTAAATGTTCATCTTCCTCAAATTATATGAATAGACTTCATTTATTTAATTTAAAAGTAAAAGCTCTTCATCCAGCCTTCTGTGTTTAATTTACTCAAAGAAACAGCAGTCTGATTCATTTATTATTGAAGTGCAGTAACCAACAACTAACCACCAGAGGGCGCCCTCTCCATATAAAGTGATTTATAAACGATATAATGCATTTATTTTAATTTTTATAACTAACCACCAGAGGGCGCCCTCTCCATATAAAGTGATTTATAAACGATAAAATACATTTATTTTAATTTTATAACTAACCACCAGAGGGCGCCCTCTCCATATAAAGTGATTTATAAACGATAAAATACATTTATTTTAATTTTTATAACTAACCACCAGAGGGCGCCCTCTCCATATAAAGTGATTTATAAACGATAAAATACATTTATTTTAATTTTTATAACTAACCACCAGAGGGCGCTCTCTCCATATAAAGTGATTTATAAACGATAAAATACATTTATTTTAATTTTATAACTAACCACCAGAGGGCGGCCTCTCCATATAAAGTGATTTATAAACGATAAAATATATTTATTTTAATTTTTATAACTAACCACCAGAGGGCGCCCTCTCCATATAAAGTGATTTATAAACGATAAAATACATTTATTTTAATTCTTATAACTAACCACCAGAGGGCGCCCTCTCCATATAAAGTGATTTATAAACGATAAAATGCATTTATTTTAATTTTTAACTAACCACCAGAGGGCGCCCTCTCCATATAAAGTGATTTATAAACGATAAAATGCATTTATTTTAATTTTTATAACTAACCACCAGAGGGCGCCCTCTCCATATAAAGTGATTTATAAACGATAAAATACATTTATTTTAATTCTTATAACTAACCACCAGAGGGCGCCCTCTCCATATAAAGTGATTTATAAACGATAAAATACATTTATTTTCAACCTATAACTTTTAATTAGAGTCTTACATCATTGTTTGGTAAATTATTTATATTAAAGCTGCATTTTTACCTTAAACCTTTTCTTCTTAGGTTAAATTTTACTTTTCAAACTTACTTTTTAATCAATTTAATTAGTTTATTGTCGTTTGGTTTTCTTAATGAAAATACCACAAACCTTTTTATTGATTTAATTGAAATGATCAATTTAATTAAAACTGCTTTTTTGATTATGATTAAAATATTTGATATGAGTACATCTTACAGCTCATTGAGCTAATTTAGATTAAACATAAATTAAAAGGAAACATTTACAAGTTAAAAAGGTTGTTTTAAAATTCTTCTTCCTTGCCTTGATTTTATTAACTTTCATATGCTCATAACTCTTCTTCACCTACCTTATGTTCTCGATTAACATTCAAAGATAATATTAAGTTCATTGATAATATCACAGATCAATTACAACTCTGAATATATATCATATATATGTATAAAGCTCGCACAAGTTAAAGGTAAACAAACTTGTAGAATTATTGTAAAAGTTATAATATAAGATAAATCTGTTTAGATGTTTCTTAAGACCTTATACTCAACGTTTCTATTTTATATTCTACATTTAAACTTTGAATTTAAGTTTGCTTCGGTCTCATCCAAAACCCTTAAAGTGAAGTTAAACACAGATCATTTACAGTGAATGATAAAACCCAGGTTTATTCCAATCATCATGATGTTGTATTATCACAAACATTTTCTGTGTTGAGAGTCCTGGTTGTGTACCCTGGGCTCGGAGGTCAGCATGTTGTACCAGAGGATGGAGGTGACAGACGTTAGAGATGACAACAACAGGCAGGGACATGGCCTACAACAACAAAAACAGCAGCAAACATCAGGAAATAATCATAAACAAACTCAAAATAAAAATACAGGTAATACTACTTTAGCTGTCTGCTCCATTTATTTATGTGATGAAGTTCCCCATGATTAAAAATAACAGCAGCAAAGTGTTTTAAAGTATATATTTTATAATAATTAAATGCTTTGTTGTGCTTCAAATGATCTACATGATATTGAAGGTTTTAACTCTTTGTGGCTTTAATGTAACTTCTACGCTTTACAACCACGGACTGTAAATATTACAATATAGCTCACCTGGAGGTTAACAGCCTCGTCAGGTCTAATTAACCGCTGCATCATGCATTCATATTGCACTGCTGCCCTCTGCTGGCGATGGGTTGTAATTACATCCAACAGTCACTATAACAGAAATGTATCCTCTTTTTAACCTTTTTTTCCAACACATAAATGTGTGGAAAAATATAAATAGTGCAGTTACTTCTGTATAGCAAAATTCTGTATTTTCTTCTTGTTTGTTTGTACAGGT